AAACCTCCAAGCACAAGAGGAACTTGGCCATTACTGGTGGGGTCACCCTGTCTGTCATTGCCTCCCCAGTCATTGCTGCTGTCAGTGTTGGTAAGTGGCCTCAGCCCTGTCCCTTCTGCTGGCCTGGTGGCCACTGAGACAAGTGGGTGGCCCAGGGACAGTTTGCAGTGTGGCTTTGGGCACAATGCTGTCTCACATCCTGGTGTGCTCGAGCTGGCCCACAGCCAGCACAGGGCTTGTCTGCTGTGTCACAGCCCATCCTGGAGCCCCTTGTCACACAGAGCTGTCTCCTGTCATGGTTTGGTGGCTGATGCCTTGGGGGTTCAGTGCTCTTGGGGTTCCCCCACTCAGCCCACAGGGCTCCTCCACTGTCTGCCTGCATAACTGTGAATTGGAACCTTTAAAAGCAACAAAAACATGACTGAGAGAGTCCCTAAAATTTTTTTTCTGTCTGCCCAACACATCTTTAAGCTCCTGTTAACCCAGCTCCTCCTCCTCTCCAGGAATTGGGGTCCCCATCATGCTGGCCTACGTCTACGGGGTCGTGCCCATCTCGCTGTGCCGGGGTGGTGGCTGTGGGGTCAGCACAGCCAATGGAAAGGGGGTGAAAATCGAGTTTGATGAAGATGATGGACCCATCACAGGTAAGAACTGCTGATGGCAAGGGGGTGAAGCAAAATGCTCTTCTTGTTGTTGCCTCTTGTAATGAAACGCTTTGAGGTCCTGATGTCTCCCAGATCTGAGACATCGCGGCCGAGCGCTCCCACTGCCGAGTCCAACCCCTTGTGCTCTCCTTCCCCACAGTGGCCGATGCCTGGAGAGCCCTGAAGAACCCCAGCATTGGAGAGAGCAGCATTGAGGGGCTGACCAGTGTGCTGAGCACCAGTGGCAGCCCCACAGATGGGCTCAGTGTCATCCAGGGCAACTACAGCGAGACCGCCAGCTTCGCCGCGCTGTCCGGGGGCACCCTGAGTGGGGGGGTCCTCTCGGGGAGCAAGGGGAAGTACAGCAGGTAACTGGGCTGGGGGGAAAGCAGAGGGGTTCCCAAGGCCTGGGTGGGTTGAGTGGGTTTGTTTTGGGGAGCTTTCCAGGAGTGTGAGTGAAGCTGTTTTGATCAAGGGGTTGTGTCGTGGTGTTTTTGTGCCCTGGTGTGCTGTAGAATGACCAGGTCTAGGAGATCACTTAGGGTGATCTGGAACCCAGAGCCACCCAGGGTGGGGAGACACTGGCACAGATTGCCCAGACAGTTTGTGGGGTCCCCATCCTTGGAGGTGTTCCTAGACCTGGTTGGGTGGGGCTCTCAGCAGCCTGGGCTAGGAGAAGGTGTCCCTGCCTGTGGCAGGGGGTTTGAGCTGAATGATCTTTCCTTTCCCAACCCAAACCATTCCACGATTCTGTTTCTGGAGTCAGTGCCAGTCTAGTTCTTGCAAGGAGGACAGATCCCTACTGAGCTCCTTGGAACCACAGAGCTGATGCTTCAGCTTAATTTGGAACAGCACAGAGCTCCTGCCTGCCCTGCTTAAAGCTATCCAGCCCTGTTATCCCAGCCTGGAGCCTTTGGTGCTTCCTGCTCTGCAAGCAGGGTCATGGCTCTCCAAATCAGGAGGTTACACCACAGTTTTCCTCCTAACTTGCCTGTGAGTCAGTTTTCTGGGTAATTAGAGCCACGTGTTGATGTGGCAGCCAGGATGTAATCACAGCTCTGTGCGAGATCCATGGAAATCAGCTCTTCGCAGGAACCGCGTGAGTCATGGATGTAAACACGGCCTTACCTCCGTCATGGAAAACAGAATGGATGTGCCTAAATGGAGCCAAAAATGAGACCAAATGAGAGCAGCCACTGGGGTTAAACTCCTGTCACATTGAGCTGGGCCAGCTCACAGGGATTCTTGCTTTCCCGTGAGCAGCAGGGGTGGGTTGGTGCTCCTAAAGCATCTGAAGCGTTTCTGAGGAACCCTCTTCTTTCGTGCAGGCTGGAAGTCCAGGCAGATGTCCAGAAGGAGATTTTCCCCAAAGACTCAGTCAGTTTGGGGGCCATCAGCGACAACGCCAGCACCCGAGCCATGGCTGGTTCCATCATCAGCTCCTACAACCCCCAGGACAGGTAGGAGGACGTGCAGAGCTGGCAGGAGCGTGGGTGGAGCCTGTCCTGGAGAAACGCAGGCTCTGGGGGTGGGGGGATGGCTGAGTTTGCACCAGGGATCCTTCTCCAACACGGCAGGAGGGCTGGGGACAGTTTGGGAGCAGCCTCCATGTGTGGTGTGGAGGCTGGGGAGGGGATCTGCAGCCCAGCACCCTCAGGGGCTGTTCTGGCACTTTGGGGGGACTCTGGAGCTTTCCCAGCCCAGCCCTGGGGTGATCTTGGCTCTGTTGGGAGGATCCAAGGAGAGCAGAGGGTCGTGGGGTGATGAGCAGCATATTGCTGGTGTTTTGGGGGGTGTGCTCCTCCCGGCACAGCCCAGTTGAACCCAGTAACGTGAGGGTGGTTGTTCCTGTCCTGCAGGGAGTGCAATAACATGGAGATCCAGGTGGACATCGAGGCCAAACCCAGTCACTACCAGCTGACCAGCGGCAGCAGCACAGAGGACTCCCTGCACGTCCACACCCAGATGGCAGAGAACGAGGAAGAAGAGGAGGAGGAAGAGGAAGAGGAGGAGGAGGATGACAAGCAGGAGCAGACGTGCAAACACCAAAGCTGTGAGCAGCAAAAGGACTGCATTGGCAGCCAGACGTGGGACATCACCCTGGCCCAGCCCGAGAGCATCCGCAGCGACCTGGAGAGCTCGGACAGCCAGTCTGACGACGTGCCCGACCTCACCTCGGACGAGGGCGAGTCCCCCCCGTGCCAGACTGCAGCAGGCTGCCCACACACCCCCCGGGCAAGAGGTGCCCAGAGCCCAAGTGCCCCCCTGAGCCACTGTGCCCAAGCCGAGGGCTGCCGGCTGGATGAGATGGTCCAGCTGGAATGCATCGAAGCCAGGGTGTGACCCGAGCACCATCCCTGTCACTGCAGCTTCTGGGCCAGGGCTGTGTCCCTGTTGGCTCCTGTTTGCCATCCTCCAGCTGGCTCCCCCAGCCTTGCCTCGGGGAGTTGTTGTTTCTTACGTGACGCAGAAAAAAAGCAAAAAAAAACCCAAAAAAACCCCCAAAAACAAAAAACAAGCAAAGAAAAAAAAAATCCCCTTCACCCTCTTTTTGTTTTAATTTATTGGTTCAAACTCTGTGAGGTGTGTAAGAGTGTAAATATGTACGTGTGTCTGTATGTCTGCAACCATCCTAAGGGACTCTTGGAATAAAGACTGGTTGTCATTGGACCTGAATCCAGCTCATCCTTTCCAAAGCTGCAGGGAAACCTTCCAGCTGCCTTTGCCCATGTGAATGCTGTTCCCAAAGGCTTGGGCAGAGGAGAGATCTCTCTTCTCCCTCTCTGCGCACCAGAGCTGGGTACAGGTGAAAGGAGAACGGAAAAAAAGGGAAATTTCCAGCATGGTGGGTGTGTGGGAGCTGAGGATGCCGAGAGCAGTGGCTCAGGTGGGATGGTGGGGACAGTGCAGTCCCAGGAACCAGAGCTGTCCCTGGAATTCAGTTGTGTTAAAACACCCACAGCCCCTCGCTGGGAGCTGGGCTGGGGGCTCCTCCTGTCCCTGGAATTTCCCTGGAAGCTCCCTGAGGGCCATGGCCACCAAAGCAGCTCCTCTGAGTCACCATTCGGCCCGGTCACCTCCCTCGCTGACCCCTCTGTCCCTGGCGGTGCTGCTCAGTGCCCCCTGGCCTGGCAGTGTCCCCAGTGCCCCTTCCCAGACCTTTGGGGACCTGCCTGGCTGCATCCCAGCTGCTGCCACAGCCGGGGGGTGGCGAGGGATGGGGAGGGGGGTGAGGAAGCGTGGAGTGCTGAACTGGCACGGCACGGCACGGCATGTCACGGCACGGCTGCCGGCTTGGCAAGGGGAGGGCAGGGGTGGGACACGCAGGGAAAGGTGGAGTTACCCCTTTGTCCCGGGGAGCTGGTCTGACAGGAACTGGAGCGGCGGGCGGGTGGCTCCGGGTGGCCCCGAGCCGATGGCTCCGGGGGCTGAGGGCAGGGCCAGGGCAGCCCCCCGGGGCATCCAGGGGCTCTGACGGGCTGATGGTGGCCCCGTGAAGATGTGCCGAGTGGGTGAGTCCGGCTCTGGGTGGGGATCACACCGGGGGGGCTCCGTCTCTGCCCTCTGCAGGGGAAACTGAGGCAGGGAGGGAGGGAGGGAGGGAGAGGAGCTGGGCTGAGCGCCGCTGGTGGTGGCCGTGTGAGGGTGGGCTCCAGAGGGGGAACAGCCCCACGGTCACCCCTCGGGGCGCTGGCTGCCACAACCCAGCCCTGGAGCTGCCGTCTGGGGCCAGCTGCTCTCCCAGAGCTTCCTGGTCACCCCGAGGGGCCCCAGCTCTTCCCAGCCCCACGGGGACCTGTCCCCACGGCCGCTGGCCCCACACCTTTGCTGCAGTCCCAGGAGAGCTGGCTGGGCCAGTGGGCTGCACACCTGGGCTACCGGTGCCTTCCACATCACCCCCTGCCAGCACGGCCGCGTCCCCCGGGCTGTCCCCACATGTCCCATTCCTGTGCCAGGCGCTGGCCACCCCACACCGTCCTCTCCCCTCGTCTCAGGCCACCCGGATCCCGGCAGCCACCGGAAGGTGCTGATGAAAACGGGGCTCATCCTCCTCATCGTCGGGCACCTCAACTTCATCACCGGGGCTCTGGTGCACGGCACCGTCCTGCGCTTCGTGCTCAGCGCCCGCGACGCCACCTCCCTGCACTACGGTGTCACCAACAGCGCCTCTGTCATCGCTGCGCTGCTGGTACCCCGGAGCCGGGCTGTGGACACGGCGGGGACGTGGGGAGGGGCTGGGGTGGGGGAGGGCCGCAGGGTGGGACGGAGATGGGATGCAGGGTGGGCGCTGCTCTGCCTCCCCTTCCCCACCCGAGCAAACCTTCCCTGGGGGAGCCAACGCTCCGGGGCTCGTGGCTGGTGGGAGCTGAAGCGCTGTCCTGGATGAGCTCCCAGGGACAGGGAAAGGGCCCCGGCGTCCCCGGGGCAGGGGCTGCCCCCGCTGACCCCCCGTGCTCCCCGCAGACCATCTCCTGTGCAGTCTGTGCCCTGCTGCTCTCCCGCTGCCTCGGCCCTGCTGCCCTCGTAAGCACCCCCAGCCCCCTCCCAGCCCCCTCAGCCCCTCTCTGGGGTCCCTCCTGGGGAGGGGACACCCGCAGGGGACATCCTGCACTGCCTCTCCTGTCCCTCCTGCAGAAATGGGCGCTGCTGGCCCTGAGCGCCTGCAGCAGCCTGTGCTGCCTGTGCTGCCTGCTGGGGCTGCTCGTGGCCATTGGCCTCACCCTGGGCAACCAGGGCCGGGTGCTGCTGGCCCCCTGCTCCACCTCCAGCGCCGCCCTCGCCCCGGTGTCCCCCGAGTGTCCCTTCGACCCCACCCGTGTCTACGTGAGTGCCCGTGGGGCGGGGATGGGATGGGATGGGCATGGGGAGGCCTGCAGGGGGCTGATGCTCCCGCTGCCTCCCAGAGCTGCACGCTGTCCCTCTGGGCCATCTCCCTGCTGCTGGAGGCCATGGGCATCTTCTTCAGCAGCCGCTGCCTCCGGCTCACCCTGGAGCTGCTGCGCCCGGGCCGCTGCTGCCGCGGGGTGCTCCGGATGAAGGTGATTCCTGGTTCCTGGCCCCAGCTCCCAGCCCTCCCTGCAGGGCTGGGGCACACCCGGCCGGGCCCAGGGGTGAGTGAGGATCCGAGGCTTCCACCCCTCTCATCCTTCTCTCTGGCTTCCAGCTCTCTCTGCAGGCAGCCCCGGTGGAGAGCCCCGGCCCCGGGCAGTGCCTGGGCTTGCTGAGGCTGGACAGCGGAGAAAGCGCCCGGCTCTGAGGGATGCATGACCTGGGGATGTGCCCTGGCCGTTCCTGCCCCGTTCCAGCACCAGCACAGCCCCAGGACAGGACTCAGCTGCCTCCCAGCACGTGTGGGCACATCCCCTGGAGCACGAGCCCATCCCTGGGGTGCAGCGAGGGATGGAAGCGGCCTGGATCCAGACCCTGCAGGGAGGAACTTCCCCAGGGCTTCCTGCCCCTTTCCCAGCACGGACTGCACTGACACAAACTTTATTCTGCAGGTATTAAAGCCCAGCAGCACGGACCCCCCCCGGGGAAGGGGCTGCTGTGGCGGTGTCTCCACGTGGGGCTGGGTGCTGGGGACCCCCAGCCACGGGGGCTTTGTCCCCTGGGCTGTGTCCCCACACCTGAGCAGTGGCTTGGCCACCAGCCTGTCCCCCCTGCTCCAAACCCGGTGCTGGGGGTCTGTCCTCACTCAGGGCAGACCCTGCCTCACCCTCCCACCAGTGCAGGAGCCCCCCAGGGATGGGGACTGTCCCCCGGGCCCCCCTCACCCCAATATCAGCCGGGCTCCAGCTCTCATCCCACGAGGGGCTGTGGGGGCACAGCGGGGACTGCAGGAGCTGGGCAAGGGACAGTGACAGCTGCAGGGTGGGGGTCCAGGGGGGCTCTGGGGGTCCGCGGGGCTCAGAACTGCATGGCCCCGCTGGGGTCACACTGCAGCAGGCGCACGATGGACGGGTCGCTCTTGGCCCCTCTGATGAACTCCTCCAGAGAGAGCTTCCCTGCGGGGAAGGGCACGCAGCTCAGGCACCTCCCAGCCCCTGAGACCACCCAAGCAGCCCAGGGACCCCCCTCCCCGCTTGGCAGGAGCACCCTGGGGTGCCCAGCGCCCGGAGCCCCTCCTGAGCGCGCCAGGCCAGCGGGCACGAGCCATTTAATCAGCTCCTTCTGGGAGCCCGGGATTTAGCCATGAGACCTCTCCCTAATCCCCGCAGCCCCTCTCATTTACCGTCGTTATTAGTGTCCATCTGTCGGAAGATTTTGTCCGTCCTTTTCTCCGGGGTGGATTCGTCTTCGGGCATGTTCATGACAGAGGAGACCATTTTGTAGATGGCCTGGGGGAGGAGAGGGGCCGAGGGTGGGCTCCTGGCATTGCCCACCTGCCACAGGGACGCAGCTCTGGGCTCTGCCTGCCCGGGAATGGGGCTGGCCTTTATCCCCTTCCCTTCCCACGGGATCGGGCTGCGGCTCCTGCAGCTCCCGGGCTGGAGCTGCTCCTGCAGGGAGGGTTTGGCCACCGGGATGCCGCTGCAGTGGCCATGAGGATCACCGGGATGGGACTGGGGCAAGGAGAGCGTCTCCTGCCCGTTTGCCAGCACCACCAGGCGTGCTGGGGGACACCCGCCCGCCCCGGCAGCACGGGAGAGTCCCGGGATGAGGCGACAAAGGGACATCCCCAGGCACGGAACCACTCCAGAATAAAACGACCCCTGCAACCACAGCTGCAACAGCAACAACTTCATCCCTGCCGCCGCAAAACCCTGTCCCGGGGGTCCCACAGCGCGAAATCCCCACCCCCCGTCCCCCGGGGAGGCGACAGCCGCGGTGGCCCCGCGGCGGCCCCGGGAGCCGGGACGGCGCTGCCCGGTACCTGCACGATCTCCAGCATCTCCTCGCGGCTGATGTAGCCGTTGCCGTCCAGGTCGTACATGCTGAAGGCCCACATGAGCTTCTGCTCGAGCCTGCCGCGGGAGGTGACGCTCAGGGCGATGATGAACTCCCTGAAGTCGATGGTGCCGTCGCCGTTGGTGTCGAAGGTGCGGAAAACGTGCTCGGCGAACTTGGAGGCGTCGCCGTAGGGGAAGAAGTTGGCGTAGATCTTCTTGAACTCCTCCACGTCCAGCATGCCCGAGGGACAGTCCTTCAGGAAGCCCTTGTACCAGCCCTGCAGCTCCAGCTCGGAGAACTCGGTGTTTTCCCGCAGGTCCTGGAGCATCTCGGGCCGGAGTTTGCTGTTCTGCTTCCCCATTGCTGTGGGGACACGAGCTCTGCGGGGACAGGGGGTCCTGGCCGGGCCCGGGGGGTCCCTGTGCGCTACAGGAGGGGACAGGGACGGGGCAGCGCTGCCTGGCAGCCCCCGCTCGCCGCTGCTGCCTCCATCCCCGCCGGCCGCTCCCGCAGAGCCCCCAGGGCCAGCCCCCTCCTGTTTGCGTAATGAGCCCTTAGAGCTCATTTGCATAATGCAGAGGTGATATTTAGGTGGGAGCGGCCCCGAGGAGGGGAGGGAGCCCTGGCAGAGCCGTGCCTGCGGTTCTGGGTCCAGCCCAGCCTGGGGCCGGCCGGGCTGGGTCAGAGCCCGGGATCCCCTGGGGAGGCTCATCTGCGGGCACTGGAGCTCCGGGAAGGGCTGGGGGTGGCAGGGACCTGCCCCAGGGTGCCCCCAGCCCACCCTTCCAGCCCAAAGCAGGCCATGATCAGTGAGGCCGAGGGGCTTTGGGCGCCCACCAAGGGACACCTGGCAGCTGCAGGTCTCAAAGCAGGGCAGGGGACAGGGAGCAGTCCTGGCACAGCCCCCAAAAGCCAGGGGTGTGCTCTGGAGCACCAGAGGGGGAGAGCAGGAGCAGCCCCGGCCCTGAGGAGCACGGGGGGTTCACCCACCCCAGGAATGAGCAATTCCCACTCAGGAACCTGGGAATCCTCCCCGGGCCCAGCTCAGGGGTTGTGCACTGGGATCCAGTTTTGGGATGGGATTGGGCTGGGAACCTGGGAACTGGGGAGGGGCTGCAGTGCTGATTCCTCCTCTCCTGCTGTAGGAAGAGATTCGGGAAGGACTGGGCTGGGGTGTGAGCAGAAAGGAGAGGAAAAGGGAGATTTGTGCCTTTGGGAAGAGACCCTGGGGGCTGGAGCTGAGCCCCCCAGGGCAGCAGCGCCAGGGCTGGGGCAGGGTGGGGGTGCCACCCCCCCGGGATTATCTTCATATCTATTTTAATCCCCCTGGGCAGGAGTGGCAGAGGCAGAACTGACGCAGGCTGATTTGAAAGCATCCCATTTCCGACTCCAGCCCGACCCTAAACCCACCTAATCCCCGAGCCGGCAGGGATTGCAGGAGGATAATGCCCGGGAGGGGGGCACGGGCAGGGACACCAACCCCCGGTGCCACACAGGGTCCCTGGCACGGGGGGCAGCCCCCCCCAGCTCATCCTGCCTGGCTCCCACCCTCCCCACCCCAAAATTGTTGTGGGTTCGTGGCTGGAACCCTGCAGTGCCCTCGCAGGGTGGGCAGCAGCTCGTGGTGCCCGGGGGGTGCCAGGGCGGGGGTCCCGCTGCCCCGGTGGTGCCAGGAGGGGCTGAAATGGGCACAGGCGCCACTGTGGCATCGTCCCCGAGCTGCTGGGACAGGGGGGTGCTGCCGCTGCCTGCCCGGGGGTCCCCCTGGTTTTCCTCCCGCTTTTCCTCCTCCTCCTCCTCCCTGCGGGGATTTCGGTGGGAATTTCCTGCGTTTCCATGGCAACCGTGAAGCCCCCGAGGCTTGGCTGCGGCAGAGCAGGGTGGGGCTGCAGGGGACACCCGGGAGGGGGCACCCGGGAGGGGGCACCCGGGAGGGGGCACCCGGGAGGGGACACCGCGGGAGGGGACACCCGGGAGGGGACCCCGCGCTGTCCCGGTGCCCCAGGACGGGGGCTCGGGGCTCCCAGGGCTCCGCACACCCCTCGGCGTGTCCCGGGCCGTGCGTGGTGGCCTCGGCGTGGCCCTGCCCGTGTCCCCAAGCTGACGGGGCTCGATGACACTCGGGGTGCCCAAGCTCGGTGATTTGGGGTCCGGCAGGGGACATGGGGAGAGCGGGGACACGGGGGACAGCGAGGATAGCAGGGGACATGGCAACAGAGCAGGGACAGCAGGGACACGGGGGGACAGTGGGGACACAGGGATCAGCGGGGGACACGGCGACAGCAGGGGACACCCGGCAGGGGGCACCCGGGAGGGGGCACCCGGGAGGGGGCACCCGGGAGGGGGCACCCGGGAGGGGACACCCGGGAGGGGACACCCGGGAGGGGACAGCCGGGACGGGGGCTCGGGGCTCCCAGGGCTCCGCACACCCCTCGGCGTGTCCCGGGCCGTGCGTGGTGGCCTCGGCGTGGCCCTGCCCGTGTCCCCAAGCTGACGGGGCTCGATGACACTCGGGGTGCCCAAGCTCGGTGATTTGGGGTCCGGCATCAGCCTCAGCGCCCCCATCACACCCCAGTGCACCCCTGAGGGTGCCCACCCAGCCGGGGTGGCACGGAAGGGGTGCAGGGGTGCCCAGGATGGCTGAGGGGGTGCCCAGGGACGTTTGGTGCTCGGCACACGCCAGACACCACCCCTAAAACCTTCTGGGATACTGGGACAGACTGGAACAGGGCAAAGCAGGGGGGCTCAGCCTGGGACAACCTGGGTGTTCCAAATACCTCAGAGACCCCTCCCCGCGGGCCCACGCTGTCCCCAGAGCCTGTCCCTGTCCCCAGAGCCTGTCCGTGTCCCTGTCCCCAGAGCCTGTCCCTGTCCCCAGAGCCTGTCCCTGTCCCCAGAGCCTGTCCCTGTCCCCAGAGCCTGTCCCCGTCCCCGTCCCTGTCCCTGTCCCTGGCCCGCGGAGGGCACGGGGAAGGTGAGCGGGGCAGGGGCTGCGGGAGTAGCGGGGATTAAAAGCAAATTCCCAGATAATGAGGATCTCGGGTAAAAAGCCCATTTGTATAATTCAAAGCCCTGATGGGCTTCCTGGAACACAAAGCCCTTTGTGGTGCCCCATCGCATCTGGATCAGGAGCCGCGCTGGCTAAACCTGCGCTCACAGCGCGGGGATGCGGGGGCGTTGCGTAACCGGAGTGGCTGCATCCCGTGTCCCCCCGTGTCCCCCGTGTCCCCGTGTCCCCCCATGCGGTGCCCGCGGTGCCACCCTGCAGCCCGTCGCGCTCACCTCGCCCTGCCAGCCAAGCTCGGGTGCCCTGGGGACACCGTGCTGGTGGCGCTGGCACCCGGCCCCGTGCCCTCAGCAGTGCCACCGGGCACTTTGGGCACAGCCGTGTCCCCAGCCGGGCTCTGCCCCAGCTCCCGGTGCGGGCTCTGTGTCCCCGTGCCCAGGGCTGGCCGGGGGCTGCAGCTTGTCCCTGTTGTGTCCCTTTGGGACCGAGGGCTGCGGAGGTGGCACTGCCATCCCGGGGAGGGCACGGCCCCGTGGTGCAGGAAGGGTGACACTGGGGCTGGGGTCCGCACCCAGATTCTCCCTGTCCCCCACCCTCCTCAAGGAACGCAGGGGTTAAACGCCGCCACCTGTGCCCCCAGTGCCCCCTGTGCCACCTGTGCCACCTGTGCCACCACTGTCGCCAGCGCCGCGGGCACGCGCGGGCCCCGGGCTCCCTCTCGTGGCTTCTCTCCCCTTCTCATGGGTGACCGGGGACCCTCGGGGACGCGGCGCGACAGCGGGGCCGGGACAGCGGGGCCGGGGTGCCCCGAGCCGGGGGCTCCGAGCGGGGGGACCCCGGTGCCCCCTGCCCAAGGCCGGCTGTCCCCAGCGGGGCCGGGAGCGGGTCCTGTCCCGGGGGGGTTGGGGGGTCCCGGCTGTGCCCCCCATCCCCTGCAGATGGCAGCAGCGGCTTTCGGCAGCGCCGGGATGCGGGGGGGTCCCCGCACGCCCCGCACCTCCCGAACCCCAGGAACCTCCCGAACCCCGTTACCCCTGTACCCCGCACCTCCTGAGCCCCCTGAACCCCCTGCACCCCGTTACCCCTGTACCCCGCACCTCCTGAGCCCCTGTACCTCCTGAATCCCCTGCATCCCAAACTTTCTGCACCTCCTGCACCCCTTGAACCCCCTGAATCCCGCACCTCCTGAGCCCCCTATATCCCCTGCACCTCCTGAACCCCCTGAATCCCACACCTCCTGTACCCCCTGCACCTCCTGAGCCCCCGAACCCCCCGGTACCCTCTGTACCTCCTGAACCCCCTGTATCCCACACTTTCTGCACCTCCTGCACCCCCTGAACCCCCAGAATCCTCCCGACCCCACAACCCCTGCACCTCCTGCACCTCCTGTACCCCCTCTGTGCCACCCCAATCCCCAGGGCCGGGTGCCCCTCTGGGGGCACATCCAGCCCCGTTTCCCTCGCGGGCTGCACACAAAGCCCCCCACAAGGGCCCGACACCGATTTAGGGACAATTTTTTGGTGTCGCGGGGCTGCGGGCTCGCTGCTCGGCTCCTGCCGGAGCCCAGCCCGGTGGCAGGGCGGGCAGGGGGGTGGCACGGCTGGCGACCTCGCAGGTGTCCGTCTGGTGCCGGGAGAGGGAAGAGGAGCGTCTGCGGAGCCTGAGTGCGTAATTAGAGCTGCGCCTTAATTGGCAGACGGGGGACGCGTGACGGGCGGGCTGTGACTGGAATAGCGATGGGCTGGGGAGGGGGAGGAGGCTCCGCGGGGAGCCCGGGGGGACCAGGACACCCCAAAAAGCTTTGCCCTGCGGTGGGAAAGGAGAGGGGACAGGGAAAGGACGAGCTCAGCGTGGGCTGTCCCATGGAACCCGGGGATTTGAGCCCCCAGAGGGGACCTCAGTGCGGGGGTGACATCCCAGGGCACCCCCTGGGCACGGCAGATCTCATGGGGCTGGAAAAGAGCAATGTTCCTCCTTTATTTGGAAAGGGGGAAAGGAAAAAGCCGAGGAATTGCGGTGTTTGTGCTCAGTCTCTGGAAAAATACCAGGACACATCCAGAACCCTCCTGTGGGAGTCTGGGAGGCAGCAGGATGACAGGGACCGGCCGTGTCACACCTGCCAGGAGCCACTGGGGCAAAACACTGCCTGTCCCATGTGCTGGGCCCAGCCAGGCAGGGAATCCTTGTTTTGTGTGCCAACCCCTGCATCTCACTGCTGGGGGACTTGGAATTCCCTCTGTGGGATGGAGAAGCAGCAGTGCTGCTGCTGCTGCTGCTGGCACGGAGGCACATCCTGTGGGACCTCAGCTTTGCCTTCCTGGAGCTCTTCTGGCATCTCTGGTACCAGAACTCGGGGTTTGTGATGCTGCTCCAGGTGTGCAGGCCAGGCAGGAGGCACCAGCAGGAGCCTGAGCCCAGCAGTGGCTCCTGCCCAGCCTCGTGTTCTGGTGAAGGAAGGCCCAGGGGCAGCAGCAGCCTGGCCTGGAGCCACCCCCTGCATCCCCAAATCCTGCCCTCCCAGCCCATCCCTGCATGGCAGTGCCCAAATCCTGCCCTCCCAGCCCATCCCTGCATGGCAGTGCCCAAATCCTGCTCCTCCCAGCCCATCCCTCCAGGTCACTCCCCAAATCCTGCCCCCCCAGCCCATCCCTCCATGGCAGTGCCCAAATCCTGCCCTCCCAGCCCATCTCTCCATGGCAGTGCCCAAATCCTGCCCTCCCAGCCCATCCCTCCATGGCAGTGCCCAAATCCTGCCCTCCCAGCCCAGCCACGTGTGGCTGGATTTGGGGGACCCCAAGCTCAGAGCAGGCAGCTCCAGCGAGGGGCTGAACCCCCCAGTCCCTCCCGGGGCTCCTGCTCCTCCCCTGCACCTTCCCCAGCACTGAAGTGATGAAATTTTAATCTGCTGCCAGGCAGGAGATGAAAGGGAGGCCCCAGAGGCATTTCCCTGGGCTGCAGCCGGAGCGTGGCACAGACACCGTGCTGGGAACTGTCACCACCCAGACAAGGGGAGTGGCACGGCTTGGGCAGGACAGGGCTGTCCCCTGGCTGTCCCCTGGCTTGGCAGCTTTTGGCTCTCCTTGGTGCCTGTCACTTGTCCAGGAAGGATCTTTGGGGACTCCTCAGCTGGGGGGTCTCTCACTGAGCCCCCCAAGCAGCACTGTGCCCGTGCATGGCAGGAGGGAGGGTGGCATGGGCATGGTGGCACCTGACTCACCCCCCTCTCCACCCAGCTGCAGGGATGAGCAGGGGAAAACCATCAGGCCACAAAGCAAACCGTGGGGACCAGGAGTGCCACCAATGTGGGGACCCCAGTGACGCTCCTGGGAGCCCCCAGCACACCCGGGCAGGTGGCAGATGGACACCTGGGACAGACGGACAGCGAGGGACACACAGCCAGCACTCCCCACCCTCAGCACGGGCAGGTGCCACAGTCAGGGCTGTCCCTGGAACGTGCCAGCCGTGCCCAGAGCCACCCATTCCATGTGCAGCCCCTCAGGGCTGGCGGGGAGCAGGGGGTCACAGCAGGGTCCCCTCGCGGTGTCACAGCATTCGGCAGCGAGCTGGGGACTTGGATTCTGCTCCCATCGCCAGCGAGCGTCAGTCAGAGGGTGCTGCTTAATTAACCTGGAGGCACGGCTAATTCCAGAGGCCGCTCGGGTCCTGTTCCCTCGGAATTCAGCTGGCCCGCAGGGGCTGTGTGACACCCCGGCGGTGGCGGGTCCCCTGTGTGACACCCCGACGGTGCCCCGGCCCCGCTGCCGTGCCCCAGGGCTGCTCCCGGCCGGGATGGCACCCCCGGTGCCCGAGCATCCCCGGGACGGCTGTGCCGGGACCCCGGCGGGGGCCAGAGGGGCGGGACGGGGAAACTGAGGCAACGAGCGGTGCCGTGCTGGGCGGGGGGCCCGAGCCGCCCCCGGGGCCGGGGGAGGGACCGGAGCGGGGCTGCCCGGCGCTGCAGCGGGCGGAGCCGGGGCTCGGCGGGGCCGCCTCCCGGTCGAGCCCTCGGCCCGGCCCCGAGCGGCCGCGGGGGATGGAGCCCTTCCTCGGCTGCACCGGCGCCGCGCTCCTGCTCTGCTTCAGCTACGCCGGTCTGCGCCCGGTGGAGGCAGGTACGGGCGGCCGGGCCCCGGGAGCGCTGCCGGGGCTGTGGGGAGGGGGTCGGTGCCGGGAGAGACCCCGGGGGGAGCGGCGTGAGCGGGCAGGGCTGCGCCGAGGACGGAGTTTGGGGGCGCCGGGACTTTGCCGGGAATTGGGTGAGGAAGAGGATTTGGGACACGCAGCCCCCGGGACCGGGCTCGGGCAGCGCCGGGGGAACCGGGAGAGGGAGCGGAGCCCCGAGCCCGGCGCTGGGCAGGGGCAGGGGCAGGATTCGGGCACCTGAGCGGCGGCCCCGCTCCGTGTCACGGGGCTGAGGCGGAGTGCAGGGGCAAAGCCGGGTCTGCTCTGCCTGTGCCCCTTCCCGGCTGCCCAGGGCCCGGCCGGGCTCTGCTGGGAGCCCTGGGGAAGCACGGTGGTCCCAGAAGAACCCCGGTGGTCCCCGAGGAACCCCGGTGTCCCCAGAGGAACCACCTCTCCAGGGGCACTGCACATCCTGGCCACAAAAGCCAGGCCCCCGAGCTGAGCAGCTCACCTGGAGCGGGGATCTCTGCTGAAGGCAGTGCTCCCTTGAGCTGGATCTAATTTTGGAGCCGAGTCCGCTCCTGCCTTCACTGGGCCCAGCACCCCCGGTGTGGGGGTGAAGGGGCAGTGCTGCTGGAGCTCCCCAGCCCAGGGGAGGGCTGCCTCCTTCCCTGGCTGCAGGATGTTGGTGGAGCAGCTGCTTTGATTTGCAGCCCGCTGATTGCCAGGATATCTTGCATTCCAGGAGGCTGGGGGTGATTATTAGGGATGCAGAGCTCCGGGGAGTGGAAATTCCTTCTCTCCAGCCATCCCTGGAAGTTGCTGGAGTTACATTTGGGCTGCAGCAAGCCCCGGATGCCTTCGGCTCTGCCACCCATCCTTGGCCAGGATCGCATTCTGAAGTTGCTGTTTCACAACTGCCAGCCCCGGGGAGATTAATGAAACATCCCCAAAGGGAGGGAGGAGAACACCACGGCACAATGGAGGCGGCTGCAGTTGTGACAGCACTCGGGGTTTCTGCAAACTAGGCCACTTCCCTGCTCTTCCTTATCCTTGGATCACCTCGCCTGGCATCCCAGAGTAAACAGGGAGCTGTGTCCCTGCCCAAGGCCACCTCCTGCTCCTGCCTGGCCCGGGAGGTGGCCGTGCCACGTTCTGGGAGCTGTGTGATTTGGGGTGGTGCCATGCACGCCCCACTGCCTCCCCCTCCTGTGCCAAGGGTCCTGACGAGCTCTCCTGCACCCAGGTGAGGCACAGGGTTTGTGCTGGCCCTGTTTTCCAGAGCAGGAGCAGAGGGACGAGGGCACAGAGTGATTTTCCCAAGGTCACACAGAGGTAGTGGCAGTGTTGCCACCAGCTCCGTGTCACCAGCCCTGCTGATGATGTGGCCACAAGGCCACCAAGGCACACAGGCCCAGAGTCATGGGAAAAGCCCATGGGGTGGAAACCATTCCCAGGCAGGCATGGAGGCTCCAGGGTCTGTCCTCTTTGGACCCAGGGCTTGTGTGAGTGGGTTTAAAATAATTCCTGTCATGAGAGATTAAAGCTGACTGGTGCAAACTCCCCCCTGGCAATGCCAGGGCGAGGGCTGGTGAGTGGCAGCGAGTACAGGCCCTGCTCTGAATTCAGGGATTTTGGCCAGGCAGGACCATTTTTTGCCAAGGTGATGCCAAGGTGAGTGAGGAGGGGAAGGAGGAGCAGGAGGATGAGGTGGCTGAGAAATAATCTTCACACCAATGCTCTTTGGCAACCCCAAATCCCAGCTGGGTGGGTGATGCCCTCCCACCACTCCCACTGCTCCACAGGGTCCCTGAGGAAACACTCAGGATGGCTGGCAAGTCAGGAATAGCATTTAATTTCCCTCCTCATTAGGCTGAGCTAATGAAGAGAGGGGAGCTGGGCTGGGCCTGGGGCACTGCTGAGGCCCAAAGAGCAGGGGGTGATGATGGAAGACCCCAAAAGAGCCCACACCCCCTGTGACCTGCAAACAGCCTCACTGCGAGGTGCCAGCTGTCGAGCAGCTCAGGGCAGGTTTATTTTTGTGAGATGGAGAGCAGAGGTGACACAGCTCAGGTAAAACCTCCCCTGCCAGCACAGCTCTGGGCTAGCCCTCGGGACCAGGACAAGCTCCAGTTCGAGGAGCTCCCCCACCTCAGCTGCCCAAAAAGGTGCCAAACCCCTCTGGCTGCATTCTGAAACGTGTCCTCACCCCCTGAGCCACTCCAAACCAGCCTCACCCCCTCCCCGGAGAGCCCCCAGCCTCGTGGGGGGAAGGAGAGCAAAGCAGAGGCACCAATCTGACCCCAGGCGCTGATCCCAGCTTGTCCGAGCTGGATGTGCTCCCCCGAGCCCGGGGAGCTGGATCACCCGTGGATCAGGGTGAGCAACGAGCTCAGCAGGCTCAAAAGGTGTCTCAGCAATCTGGAAACAACAAAGCAGCCCGTTGCAGCCCTCTCCCTCCATCCCAGAGGCCGGGAGATCCCTGCCTGGCTGGAGGGCGGCGTAGGCGCTTTATTGATTGCCGCGCTCGGCGTGGGAGGGATTTAATTGGGATGTGGAGGTTTCTCACCCCGGTGTCAGGCTCTCAGCAGGGACGGTGCTGTGAGAGGCAGCCAAGGTTGAGCCATCCCCTTCCAAATGCTGTCTCCTGCTGGGAATCTGCTGGTGGGAAAGGGAGATTCCTCCCAGAGGGATGTGCTTGCAGTTATTAGCCACGCACTCCGTGGCAGTGCCATCCACGTGCTGGTCCTGGATCCATCCTCACCTTTGGGTGTTCATTGCTAGACAAACTCTTGCTGGTTTATGAAGTGCTCAGAGGCTGAATTAGGGCCTGGATCGAGTACAATTCAGTTAAAGGCAGGGATGTATTGAGCAGTGAAGCTGCAAACCTTGATGTGTGCAGTAAAAAGCGGGATACAGGAGCAGAGCTGGGCCGGGAGCAGGCAGCAGAATCCTGGGAGAGCTCTGCTGTCAGCAGCCAGCACTGCCCAGGAAACTCCCAGGCTTCCTCACCCCTCTGGTACTACAGAGGTGTGGGGTAAGAGGAGCTAGAAAAGCCGGTGGTACCCAGTTCTCTGTGGTTATTTAGATCCTGGATAAAACATGCCATGATGGGAACGACTCTGCTCTGAGCTGGCAGCATTTAAACCCAAACTGTGGCACTGGGGAGACCTGAGAGAACCCTGCCTGTCTTTGGGACCCTCCAGGGTAGAAATATTCCTTCCTTCAGCCCCAAGGAACTCCCAGTGGCTGGCTGGCCACAGCTCTGTGCTCCGTGCAAAGGCTCCACGCTCCTGGCAGCATTTCCAGCTGCTCCCTGGGGAATGAGCCACAGAGCCAAGGGGTGGGCAGGAGGGGGCTGGTGGCCTATTCATATCCCATTTTTATGGGGAACTGAGGGTCAGCAGGGAATAATTGCCTCTTTCCCAGCTGAAGAACCACCAGTTGGCCTCTCAGCTCTTTGAAATCTCTGGATTTTAGCAAACAGCTCTGCTTCCCGTGGGGCTGGGGGCAGGAATGATCCCACACATTCCCCTGGGGCTCTCTTCATTAAAACCCTCGGGAATGCTGAGCAATGTGCCAGCCCTTCCTACACACCCCATAAAACCCACAAGCAATTACAGCCACGGGTGGGATCCGTGCTGGGAGAGCACAGAGAAGCAGCAAAAGCAGCTCAGTGTGAATCCACACTCAGGGAAAGGACAGAAAACATCACATGGATTTCAGGGATGCTCCTTTCAGGTCGTGTCCTTTCATCTCCTGCATCTCCAGGGAAGGTTGTGGTGCAGAAATCAAGAGATGCTGGGAACTGAGGCTGGGATTCACTGCTTCCTGCAGGAAGGGGCAGCTGGGCAGCAGGGAATGAGCTGCTTCAGAGCTCAGCTCACCAGACCATGCCCCTGGGGCTCTGAGGCAGCTCCAGCCCTCCCCAGCAGGGAAGGAGCTGCCTGGGAGAGGAGCTGAGTGAACTGGGAACTGCTGGGAATGCAGCACAGCCTCAGGAAGGATGCAGCTCCAAGCACTTCCACGGGAGAGGTGAATTCAGGGGGTTTTGGGGATCCCTTGGCTGGAGAGATAAATCCAGAAATGCATTTTAATTCCAGACCCGTGGCCTGGGCTTGGCTGGCCTGAGGTGACCCCAAGGGTGTGACATTCCCACAGGTTCCTCCTTTCCTTCAGTGATGCCTTTGTGGCCTGGGTACCTCCCTGATCCCATCAGACACCCCAAGGCTTGGACACCCCAATATTCATCCTCCTCATTCCCAGCTGACAGCAGCACTGGGATGGACCAAACTTTTTCCCTGCTGTTTTTCCCACTCCTCCCATCCACGCCACAGCTCCCACAGGGAATCCACCTCACAGGGAAGCAGGGGGGGCTCCTCTTCCTCGTGCCACTTGCTCTAAAAAGTACATGGGGCTCCTCTCTGTCCAATTAAAGTCCAACAATAACGAGGAAAAACATTTAATGGAAGGCTGGGAGGGGTTCTCAGCACGGGGAGGGGATGAAGGATCATCTCCAGGGCTCAGGATTTCTTGGTGCACAGCGGAGGCTCCGACCTGCTCCTGCCAAAAGGGCCCCAGGTGCGGCGGAACCGGGGAGGGCTGGGACACATGGGCCTGGGGGGTGGGAGATGTCGGGCTCTGTGGGAAGGAAACCAGATGGGATTTTAGAAACCCTCTGTTTTTAAGCTGCTATTCATGTTTAAAAGTCCAGATTTCAGCTGAAGTCATCAGGGTTTCCCTTAACGAGGGGTGGGGTGATTTCTGCTGACATGAAAATGAGAATATTTTTTCCCATCTAAATTTGGGCAAATATCCTCTGCTAGTTTGAAGGGTGGGATTTGCTCCAGCATCCTGCACTGGAATGAAGTTAAAGTGCTAAACCAGGAATCTTGCACCATTCCCTTACGGAGCAGACAGGGAATGTGCTGCCCTCAGCAGCTCCGGAGTAAACAGGCACAAAAATAAAAACCTTGCTCCACACCCCATTCCCTGCTCTCCCTGCAGCATTCCCACCCTCTGTTCCCATTCCCAGAACACCAGCAGCTTTCCTGGCTGCCACAGACACAGAAGCAAAGTTTCCAGGAGTTGCACATGACTCTAGAAGGAAACAACAATTTTGGATTTGGCACGTCGAGGCCCTGCTGGAGCTGCTGACCCCCTGCAGCCAGCTGGGAAATGACAGGAATTGCACCTTTTCCACCTGACCTCAGCCAGGCTGGCACTGACAAAGAGCTGCAACAGGGCCAGGGAGCCAAAAGTCCTGTGGAATATCTTGGAACAGTGTTTTAGGTCTTAGGAAGTCATGATCTCATCATTTCATCTCTTGGGAACGGGGTGAAAAGCAACCTCACAGATGAAAATTTTGGTTCCAAATTATTCCCGCAGCTCTGCGAGCAGAAAACTCATTTTCCTGGCTTTGTAGATCTGTCAAACACAGTTTAATTATCTTTTTAGCGTTTTTATGCTGGTTTGACACCACAGATTTGGGTGTAGCAGTGCAAGGGAAGGCACATTGGGATCTGTCTTGGATTCCTGGATTTTAGAGCTGCTGACTTCACTACCCCATCCCTCTCTCAGGTATTCCTACAAAAAAAGGTTCTAGAATGTTCCTGACCACCCACTCCAGGGGATTTCTCCCTCACCTCCATCCAGATTCCAGTTTTGGAAGCTTCAGTCTCTGGGTTTCAGCTTTGCCGAGTGCTTCCCTCCTGCCTCCCAGCTCTCCACCCTCTCCCACCACTTCCCAGGAGAGGTTTTTGCTCTCCTGCAGCTCTTCAAGGTCCTCCCAACTCCCCCACATCTTATGCCATCAGGAAACTCGGACACTTTTTGTGCTGTGCCTCCCTCAAGGTCACAAATTTCAAAGGGGATCTGAACACTGAGTGCTGTTCCCTTTCCCCGGCTTTTTTTCCGTGATCTCTGCTCTCTGTTCCTGTGGGGTTAATTCATCTCTTTTCAAAGCCCTCCTCCAACTAAAGCTGGCTAAGTCAGTGGTAGCTCTTAAAAAAAAAAAAATTAAAATTTAGCTCCTAAAAATACCCAGGGAGGAGCAGCAGGGCGGGAAGGAGCGCTGCAGCCGGGAAGGGCGCAGTGCTGGCTGCAGCTGGAGAATGTTTTGTCTCCCATCCCTCAACTCCGTCATGTCCTCCGTATGTTCCAGCAAATTCATCAGGCATGACTCACAGACCTTCCCGTGCACATTCCTGTCTGCTGACCGCCCCTTCCTAAAATTAGACTCGACTTTTGTTGGCTCAGTCACGGGGGAAGGTGAAGAGCTGCAGACCCACGTCCCTTCCTCGTGTCACAGCCGCTTTGGGAGGGACTTTGATGCCAGCATGGGGAGGATGATCTGCCTCCTTCCTCGGCTTGTCATTGGCACTGCTGCTGCAGGGAGGGTGAGGATGGTGAGGGATCCCCTCCTGGGCAATTCTGCTTCATTCCATGAGGGCCAGGCCCTGGGAATGAGAATGCTCTGGGTCAACATCCACTCCATTGTTAGTCCAGAGAGGAATGACCTCCCTCTGTGGAATCACAGACTTGCTGCTCCTCCTAAAGCCCTAAATGTGTGTGAATTCAGCCGTTCAGTGACTTTTTTCCTGACTGAGAATCAGTCTGGCTTGAATGGCTCCTCCAGACATTTTGTTCCTAAGGCTCTACCTGCTGGCTGTGAAAGGAACGAGGGATTGCTGTGCCAAGTGACCTTCAGCTGGGGAATTCTGATTCTGTGCTCCTCTGCTCCCGGGGGAACATTCACCAGCAGTGATGTCAGACACTGACACTACAGCTTGAATATTTTCAGCTCCATCCAGGCATCTGGGAATGACCATAAATCCAACAAGTGTCACTGGAGATGGGCACAAGTGCACCCCTCTTCTACTGGTGAGCTGTGCCAGCCCCAAAGGGGTGGTTATAATGAAATAAAAGTGTTGATTTCTCATAAAAATTGGAACAAAACGACTCTTCCTCACCCTACTGGGGCTACTCAGAGCATTCACTGCTTTGGGTTCAGAGCAAAGCTGACGATAGTGAATGAAATTTCAGCAGAGGAGTGGGAACAGAGTCCAGCTGGAAGAGCTGTGCCAAACCTTCCCAGGAAGGGCTTTGGACTGGGCAGCTCCCTTGGGAAGAGGCTCCTGGGGAGGTTGTGCAGGAGCCCAGATCTCCTTGGCAAGGCTGGGAGGATCCTGCTGGAAATTCAGCTGCACTCTGGAACTGGGAATAAACACAGAGCCTCCGGCTCCTGCTCTCCTGCCCTTTGCACATCACAATATCCACCGTGTCCTGGCAGCTCCAAGTGCATGTGCCGCTGGATGTGCTCTGACATCAGCCAAGTGTTCCAAAAGGAACATTTTCTGCCAGGGAAAAACACGAGGAACTCTCCCAGTTATTCCACCCCTGCGTTTCAAACCTCTGGAATGTTCCTCAAAGCACTCAGAGTGCACACGTCCTGGCAGAGCTGGAATTTCCTCCCAGCTGTCACTGTCAGGCTGTGACAGGGAAAATGTGGCTGGGGAGGATGGCATCAATGAGCTGCTCAGGGCTTGGCTGTGGTGTTCACGGAATTCTCCCCAAGGGTTGGGTATTTCACACATGGAGTCTGGAATGGTTTGGGTTGGAAGGGACAGAAGATCAGCCAGTCAGCTGCTCAGGGCTTGGCTGTGGTGTTCACGGAATTCTCCCCAAGGGTTGGGTATTTCACACATGGAGTTGTGGAATGGTTTGGCTTGGAAGGGACAGAAGATCAGCCAGTCCCCCCCCCTGCCATGGGCAGGGACGCTTTGCACTGTCTCAGGTTGCTCCAGCCTGGCCTTGGACACTTCCAGGGATCCAGGGGCAGCCACAGCTTCTCTGGACAACCTCCACCACCCTCCCAGGGAAGGATTTCTTCCCTACATTTAACTTAAATTTCCTCTCTATCAGTTGGAACCCGTGGTGAATGTAACTCTTATTCTCAGCTGACATCTCCTAGCTCCACCCTGGGAACTGACACCTGCAATTTGCAGGTCACAAATCCCAAACAGATCCTGAGGAAGGTCCTTCCCCACTCCTTTCCTTGCCCCTTGCTGTGTCTCCTGTCCCTGCAAAGGCTCTGCTCTCCCTCCTTGCAGACAGCCCCTCGGCTCCAGTAAATGTCACGGTCAAACACCTGAAAGCCAACTCGGCCGTGGTCACTTGGGACGTCCTGGAAGATGAAGTTGTCATTGGATTTGCAATTTCCCAACAGGTACCGTGCCTAGCATGACCCAATTTCAGCCACATCCATCTCCCCCCAGGTTCCCAAATCCTCCTGCTGCAGTTTAAGCCCATTCCTTCTCGTCCTGTCCCTCGTGGTCCTGCAGGGGATTTGGCTCCCCCGTCCCCCTGTGCAGCAGCTCTTTGTGCCTTGTGGCTGCAGAGGGGGAAGGATCCTGATGGTTTCTCCACATCCACGTGGCGGGCAGGGCAGGAATCAGTGGCCTTAGGTGACAGCAAATGCACATGGAGAGGCCTCTCCACCACTCTGTGCTCTCCTCTCTCGGCTTCCAGAAGAAGGACGTGCGGATGCTGCGCTTCATCCAGGAGGTGAACACCACCACCCGCTCCTGTGCCCTCTGGGACCTGGAGGAGGACACTGAGTACATTGTGCATGTCCAGGCCATCAGCATCCAAGGCCAGAGCCCTGCCAGTGAGCCAGTCCTCTTCAAGACCCCCAGGGAAGCTGAGAAACTAGCCTCTAAAAATAAAGGCAAGTGTGGGTGAGTTCCTACGTGGCCCCTGGGACACAGGGCTCCACAGAGAGGAACCAGGATCCTGTGTGGTGAGAGGAGCTGGGAGAAACCCTGGGTGATCAACAGGATAAACCCTGGGAGATAAACACCCCTGGGGCTGAGAGTCCTCTCAGGATGTGCTGAGGGGACAAGCTGGAGGAGGCACAAAGTGCCAGGGAGGTGCTGCTGGAGGTGGCTGCTCCTTCTCCCCTCTCAGGTGAGATTTAACAAAGTGAGGAGGAGGTGTGCAGCTCTGTGTCCTGCTCCCTGCTAGTGGAGGATGCCAGGGGGAATTCCTGGCCAGCCCCCTGGATGGCACTGGGCACACCACTGTGCTCCCAGGGCACCTGTGGCATCCACAGCGCCTCCTGTGCTTGGGTGGGTCTCGGGGAAAAAAATACCCAGAGGCTCCCACTTTTCTTATTTTCAATACTTCTGCCAAATCACAGAGAGCTGAGGTTGGAAGGGACCTCACCCAGGCAGGGTCAAGCAGAGCAGGTAGTCCAGGATCCCATCCAGCTGGGTTTTCATTATCTCCAGGGAGAAAATCAGGCACTTCCTCACTGGCAATCCTTCACTTGTTCCCCTTTAGCCACACCAGGCTCTTGAGGGATTTCTGTCAGCCAGAATCCTGCTCCAAAGGGGCCTGGCAGTGCAGGGCCGTGGGGACACCCAGGTCCCCCCTGGCTGCTGAGGGCCCAGCCTGTTCCAGGGCTTTGGCTGTGGTTCTGAGGATGTGAGTCCTTGACTCTCTTTATTAAACTGATTTGGAGGCTGTAAATCCTGAATTGCTGTTTATCTGCAAGCACTAAGAGGAGCACTGCTCCTTTCCTGGGGGCCTGAACTGTAATCTCCTTAATGCTTTGAAGCCAAGGAGGCGAATTATGCCCT